AAATTAATACATTCACACAGATACGCCTACACATAATCACATATATACATTTTCACTCATGATTATAATATCAATCAGTCAGTTATGTGCCATGCGTGATACAGACACAGGTGATCATGTAAATTTCAGTAAATGACTGACGAGGCAGAAGGTTACCATTTCTTTCTGCGTTAGGCCAGTTGCTATCCAAGGCTAGGGAACCCGGTCTGTCCTGCTGTTCACCCATAGCTGGAGGAGAAGAAGAGGATTCATACCTTTCTAAAAGTTATTAATGGATTCGACTGGAATTCGAAGTCGACTCTCTGATTCCTCAATCCGTGCCTCCTTGATTGACTATCAATACTTATGCCAAACTCAGCCACACAGACATATACGCATATAGCAACATTATTTTAACAAATGATTATTAATATCACTCCTTATGGCAAACTCATCAACTTGATAACATGCATCTGAAGCTTAGTTAATTTTAATATCTCATTATAGTTGATTTAAAGAAAGAAAAGACAAAGCGGTAAAGTTAATAAAATTAGATACCAATTCAGAAAAGATATCAAATTTGGGATGTATGTCTTGCAGTAAATTGATTAAAATTCTAAAATTTACCAGGTGTTAGAAATTCAGTAGATTTAACACCTGTCTTTTATTAAGATTCATCCATTGCTGACGCATGGAAATATCATCTGGATACATAGTATAACATCTATCAGTTCTTTGTTTCAAGTTCTTCCGCTGCAGGTAGATTTACTGGGAGAAGTTTCATAGATACCAAAATGCCCCAGGAGACACAGAGAAGAAGCCAAATAAGGATATTTTAAAGACAGAAAGAGATTCTACAGTTAACCTACTTGGTGTTTCTATTTCGATAATAGCAAGTTGGCTTTATTATCGGTATTGATTAAGTATTACTAGGTCAACTGCGCGAAGTGAAAAAGTAGATTGCGAAGCACTAATCTCCTAAATGGTGAGGAATACCTGTTACCGAAATAAGAATAAGAAATCTCACATCTATCAGTGATAGGAAATAAAGAAACTTTTCACTTAGAAGTGTAAAAATATGGCCGAATATTTTAGATGGTTTTTTACGAACTTGTTAGGCTCTTCCTCACTTCGTAGTTCGACTTCTTTCTGCGTCGGTGCAAATAAAAAGTACCGAGCATATAAGCAACGATGAGGTTTTGGAGAGCATGCAAACAAGGAGGAAGCTTATTCTTAACATCAGGCTGAAATTTCAGGGACACGTAATGAGAAAGGAAAGCTTGGAGAATCTGATAATCTGTTATACCATAATACCTATTCTATTGTAATGGACTCTCCCACAGATAATAAGTAGTAGTAGCAGTAGCCAGTTTGGCTCAGTGGTGTTGAGCGAGTCAATCGATATCGAACATTGAAGTACCAACCATCGCAACTATATTGCTGCGTCATTAACTCTTATTTCAAGTTCCTAAAGTTTTGTACGTCGAACCTAATTTAGGACGACTTATTGAAATACAAGCCTCCACTGTGAAAACTACTCTACAACATTGGCGACGAAGGATTCGTAATTCACATGGGAAAAGAAATAATTTTCGTTCAGTTTACAACACATTGGCGACCGAGAATTCGAAACTAAGAACGGAGAAAGAAAAAAAAACTTTTCGTGCGCCTGAATACAACATAATCACAGGGCGAACAGAAGGAAAGAGAGACAAAAGAAAGCAACACGTGACTTTACTTAGCGAGTTTAAGCAAGTGAAAATAAATGAAAGTGAACAGAATCTGGGAGAAGTAGCAAAGGGACAAAACTTATTGAGAGCTACAAGGGATTAGGGAAGCGGAAAACCATGATTTCCTACGTCCTGAAGGGACACGGCACATAAAAAAGGAAGAAATAAGTCGCAGTGTACATTTAACAAAGAAACGGGAAATAATATATTGCCACATCGTGATAAGAAAATAAGAATCCTGTTTTCAGTATACTGAATTTGTTACTCATACATCCACCTGGTTTGTCTAAGAGTCGATAAGTGACACTTTAGATATCTTCGCTACTATTACAATCTTCTCTTATGGCAAACAACCAGATCTTCTTTCGATTATCGAGAACTGTGACTGATACTCTGCCCATCTCTACATGTCGACTGCAGGCTTGTGATTGGCTATCACTATTCTATCTCGAACGGGGGGGGGGTTCTTGTGATTGGCTATTTCTATTCTGGTCGCATGGTACTTGATCGTGAGAGCTTTTATTTATTTATTAATATAATTCATATCCTTTTCCCTACTTCCAGACTGCAGATAAAATTATTTACAGTTGACTTGTCTAAATGGGTGTCGTAAGCACTAGAAGATCACGACACATTTTGTCACACTGTGAGATTGTCTTTACTTATAGTAAAGTTTACTAAAGCCCAAGGTCTATGGAGTAGAATATAAGAGAGAAAGATTATATTATCTCAGAATAACAAGTGAACAGATTCTTCTTGAAGAGAAAATCATTCGAAATCTTAGATATATCTTTGGGGCCGAACAACTACCGTTGGCGAAAATATTATTATATCATCCACAGTTTAGGCCTCTCATTTTAGGATTATTTTCAAAGGGAAAGGAGGCACGGTGAAGTAATAGATAGTAGAAGCGCGGATAGAGGAATCATTGGAGTAATAGATCACAGCTCGGATTGAGGAATCAGTGGCGTAATAGATAACAGCTCAGATTGAGGAAAAAAATGCGATAGCAGGTCGGATTGTCTTGTAATAGATAAAGCTCGGATTGAGGAATCGGTGGAGTAATAGATCACAGCACGGATTGAGGAATCGATGGAGGAATAGATAACAGCTCGGATTGAGGAATCGGTGGAGTAATAGATCACAGCTCGGATTGAGGAATCGATGGAGTAATAGATCACATCTCGGATTGAGGAATCGATGGAGTAATAGAGAGCAGCTCGGATTGAGGAATCATTGCAGTAATAGATCACAGCTCGGATTGAGGAATCGGTTGAGTAATAAACAGCTGCTCGGATTGAGGAATCGGTGGAGTTATAGATAACAGCTTGGAGAGAGGAATGTGTGGAGTAATAGATCACAGCACGGATTGAGGAATCATTGGTGTAATAGATAGCAGCTCGGATTGAGGAATAGGTGGAGTAATAGATAATAGCTCGGATTGAGAAATCGATGGAGTAATAGATAGAAGCTCGGATAGAGGAATCGGTGGAGTAATAGATAACTGGTCGGATTGAGGAATCGGTGGAGTAATAAATCACAGCTCGCATTGAGGAATCGGTGGAGTAATAGATCATAGCTTGGATTGAGGAATCGGTGGAGTAATTGATAACAGCTCGGATTGAGGAATCGATGGAGAAATAGATAGCAGCTCGGACTGAGGATCCGGTGGAGTAATAGATCACAGCTCGGATTGAGGAATCGGTTGAGTAATAGATAGCCGCTCTGATTGAGGAATCGGTGGAGTAATAGATGACAGCTTGGAGTGAGGAATCACTGGTGTAATAGATAACAGCACTGTTTGAGGAATCATTGGCGTAATAGATCTCATATCGGATTGAGGAATGGGTGGAGTATTAGATAACAGCTAGGATTGAGGAATCAATGGAGTTATAGATAACAGCTCGGTTTGAGGAATCGGTGGAGTATTAGACAATAGCTCGGATTGAGGTATCGGTCGAGTAATAGATAATAGCTTTTATTGAGGAATCGGTGGAGTAATAGATCACAGCTCGGATTGAGGAATCGGTGTAGTAAGAGATCACAGCTCGTATTGAGGAATCGGTGGAGTAATAGATAACAGCTTGGATTAAGGAATCGGTGGAGTAATTGATAACAGCTCGGATTGAGGAATCGATGGAAAATAGATAGCAGCTCGGACTGAGGAACCGGTGGAGTAATAGATCACAGCCGGGATTGAGGAATCATTGGAGTAATAGATCACAGCAACTCTGATTAATCGGTGGAGTAATAGATAACATCTCAGATTGAGGAATCGGTGGAGTAATAGATAGCAGCTCGGATTGAGGAATCGGTGGAGTAATAGATCACAGGTCGGATTGAGGAATCGGTGGAGTAATAGATCACAGGTCGGATTGAGGAATCGGTGGAGTAATAAATCACAGCACGGATTGAGGAGTGGGTGGAGTAATAGATAACAGCTGGTATTGAGTAACCGATGGAGTAATAGATAATAGCTCGGATTGAGGAATCATTGGAGTAATAGATAGCAGCTCGCATTGAGGAATGTATATGGCGTAATAGATAACAGCTCGGATTGAGGAATCGGTCTAGTAATAGATAGCAGCTCGGATTGGGGAAATGGAGTAATAGGTAACAGCTCGGATTGAGGAATCGATGGTGGAAAAGATAACAGCTCGTACTGAGGAATTGATGGAGTAATAGATAGCAGCTCGGTTTGAGGAATCGGTGGAAACATAGATCACAGGTCGGATTGAGAATCGGTGGAGTAATAAATCACAGCACGGATTGAGGAGTGGGTGGAGTAATAGATACAGCTGGTATTGAGTAACCGATGGAGTAATAGATAATAGCTCGGATTGAGGAATCATTGGAGTAATAGATAGCAGCTCGCATTGAGGAATCGGTGGCGTAATAGATAACAGCTCGGATTGAGGAATCGGTCTAGTAATAGATAGCAGCTCGGATTGGGGAATTGGTGGAGTAATAGGTAACAGCTCGGATTGAGGAATCGATGGTGGAAAAGATAACAGCTCGTACTGAGGAATTGATGGAGTAATAGATAGCAGCTCGGATTGAGGAATTGTTGGAGTAATAAATAGCTGCTCGGTTTGAGGAATCGGTGGTGTAATAGACAAGAGCTTGAAGTGAGGTATCGGTGGAGTAATAGATAGCAGCTCGGATTGAGGAATCAGTGCAGTAATAGATAGCAGCTCTGATTGAGTAATCGGTGGAGTAATAGATAACAGCACAGATTGAGGAATCGATGGATTAATTGCTGACTGCTCGGATTGAGGAATCGTTGGAGTATTAGATCACAGCTCCGATTGAGGAATCGGTGGAGTAATAGATCACAGCTCGGATTGAGGAATCGGTGGAGTAATAGATATCAGCTCGGATTGATGAATCGATGGAGTAATAGATAGCAGCTCGGATTGATGAATCGGCGGAGTAATAGATAGCAGCTCGGATTGAGGAATCGGCGGAGTAATAGAGAGCAGCTCGGATTAGGGAATACATGTTGTAAAAGATATCAGCTCGGACTGAGGAAAAATATAATAGATAGCAGCTCGTATTGAGGAACCGGTGGAGAAATAGATAGCAGCTCTGATCGAGGTATCGATGGAGTAATATAACAGCTCGGATTGGGGAATCTATTGTGTAAAAGATAACACCTCGGACTGAGGTATTGATGGAGTAATAGATAGCAGCTCGTATTGTGGAGCCGGTGGAGTAATAGATAACAGCTCGGAGGTTTTGAGGAATCGATGGATTATTAGATAACAGTTCGGATTGGGGAATCCATGGTGTAAAAGATAACAGCTCGGACTGAGGAATTGATGGAGTAATAGATAGCAGCTCGTATTTAGGAACCGGTGGAGTAATAGATAACAGCTCGGATTGAGGAATCGATGGTGTAATATATAGCAGCTCGGATTGAGGAATCGCGGATAATAGATAATAGCTCGGATTGAGGAATCGGTTGAGTAATAGATAACCGCTCGGATTGAGGAATCGGTGGAGTAATAAACAGCTGCTCGGATTGAGGAATCGGTGGAGTAATAAATAACAGCTTGGAGTGAGGAATCGCTGGAGTAATAGATAACCGCTTGGAGTGAGAGATCGGTGGTGTAATAGATAACAGCTCGGATTGAGGAATCATTGTAGTAATAGATCACATCTCGGATTGGGGAATCGGTGGAGTAATAGATAACAGCTCTGATTAAGGAATCGGTGGAGTAATAGATATCAGCTCGGATTGATGAATCGATGGAGTAATAGATAGCAGCTCGGATTGATGAATCGGCGGAGTAATAGATAGCAGCTCGGATTGAGGAATCGGCGGAGTAATAGATCACAGCTCGGATTGAGGAATCGGTGGAGTAATAGATATCAGCTCGGATTGAGGAATCGGCGGAGTAATAGATAGCAGCTCGGATTGATGAATCGGCGGAGTAATAGATAGTTTTCGGATTGAGGAATCGGTGGAGTAATAGATCACAGCTCGGATTGAGGAATCGGTGGAGTAATAGATATCAGCTCGGATTGATGAATCGATGGAGTAATAGATAGCAGCTCGGATTGATGAATCGATGGAGTAATAGATAGCAGCTCGGATTGAGGAATCGGCGGAGTAATAAATAGCAGCTCGGATTAAGGAATCGGTGGAATAATAGATCACAGCTCGGATTGAGGAATCGGTGGAGTAATAGATTACAGCTCGGATTGAGGAATCGATGGAATAATAGATAACAGCTCGGATTGAGGAATCATTGGTGTTATAGATAGCAGTTTGGATTGAGGAATCGGTGAGTAATAGATAACCGCTAGGATTGAGCATTCGATGGTTAATAGATAACAACTCAGATTTAGGAATCGGTGGAGTAAATAGATCACAGCTCAGATTGAGTATCCGATGGAGTAATAGATAACAGCTAGGGATTGAGGAATCTGTGGAGTAATAGATAACAGCTCGGATTGAGGAATCGGTGGAATAATAGATAAAAGCTCAGACTGGGGAATCGGTCGAGTAATCCGAAGCTCGATTGATGAATCGATGGAGTAATAGATAGCAGCTCGGATTGAGGAATCGGCGGAGTAATAAATAGCAGCTCGGATTAAGGAATCATGGAATAATAGATCACAGCATTATTTTGAGGAATCGGTGGAGTAATAGATTACAGCTGGGATTGAGGAATCGATGGAATAAAGATAACAGCTCGGATTGAGGAATCATTGGTGTTATAGATAGCAGTTTGATTGAGGAATCGGAAAGTAATAGATAACCGCTAGGATTGAGCATTCGATGGAGTAATAGATAACAACTGGGATTTAGGAATCGGTGGAGTAATTGAGATCACATTGGAAAATTATCCAGGTAATAGATAACAGCTCGGATTGAGGAATCTGTGGAGTAATAGATAACAGCTGACGCATGGGAATCGGTGGAATAATAGATAAAAGCTCAGACTGGGAATCGGTCGAGTAATAGATAGCAGCTCGGATTGAGGAATCGATGGAGTAATAGATAACAGCTCGGATTGGGGAATCCATGGTGTAAAAGAGGAACAACTAACTGGACTGAGAAATTGATGGAGTATTAGATAGCAGCTCGTGTATTGAGGAACCGGTGCAGTAATAGATAGCAGCTCGGTTTGCGGAATCGATGGAGTAATAGATAACAGCTCGGATGAAAAGGGAATACATGGTGTAAAGATAACAACTGGGACTGAGAAATTGATGGTGATATTAGATAGCAGCTCGTATTGAGGTAAAACCGGTGAATAATAGATAGCAGCTCGGTTTGAGGATTTGATGGAGTAATAGATAACAGCTCGGATTAGGGAAAATGTTGTAAAAAGATATCAGTCGGACTGAGGAATTGATGGAGTAATAGAAGCAGCTCGTATTGAGGAACCGGTGGAGAAATAGATAGCAGCTCTGATCGGAGGTATCGATGGAGTAATAGATAACAGCTCGGATGAGGGGAATGATTGTTAAAAGATAACACCTGGACTGAGGTATTGATGGAGTCCCAGATAGCAGCTCGTATTGTGGAGCCGGTGGAGTAATAGATAACAGCTCGGAGTGAGGAATCGATGGATTAATAGATAACAGTTCGGATTGGGGAATCCATGGTAAAAATTAACAGCTCGGACTGAGGAATTGATGGAGTAATAGATAGCAGGGACGACTTTTGGAACCGGTGGAAAATAGATAACAGCTCGGATTGAGGAATCGATGGTGTAATAGATAGCAGCTCGGATTGAGGAATCGGTGGAGTAATAGATAATAGTTCGGATTGAGGAATCGGTTGAGTAATAGATAACCGCTCGGATTGAGGAATCGGTGAGAAAATAAACAGCTGCTCGGATTGAGGAATCGGTAAAGTAATAAATAACAGCTTGGGGAGGAATCGCTGGAGTAATAGATAAACTTGAGTGAGAGATCGGTGGTGTAATAGATAACAGCTCGGATTGAGGAATCATTAAAGTAATAGATCACATCTCGGATTGGGGAATCGGTGGAGTCGCAAGATAACAGCTCTGATTAAGGAATCGGTGGAGTAATAGATATCAGCTCGATTGATGAATCGATGGAGTAATAGATAGCAGCTCGGATTGATGAATGGCGGAGTAACAGATAGCAGTTCGGATTGAGGAATCGGATAAGTAATAGAAAACTAGCTCGGATTGAGGAATCGGTGGAGTAATAGATATCAGCTCGGATTGAGGAATCGGCGGAGTAATAGAAGCAGCTCGGATTGATGAATCGGCGGAGTAATAGATAGCAGCTCGGATTGAGGAATCGGTGGAGTAATAGATCACAGCTCGGATTGAGGAATCGGTGGAGTAATAGATATCAGCTCGGATTGATGAATCGATGGAGTAATAGATAGCAGCTCGGATTGATGAATCGATGGAGTAATAGATAGCAGCTCATTTTGAGGAATCGGCGGAGTAATAAATAGCAGCTCGGATTAAGGAATCGGTGGAATAATAGATCACAGCTCGGATTGAGGAATCGGTGGAGTAATAGATTACAGCTCGGATTGAGGAATCGATGGAATAATAGATAACAGCTCGGATTGAGGAATCATTGGTGTTATAGATAGCAGTTTGGATTGAGGAATCGGTGGAGTAATAGATAACCGCTAGGATTGAGCATTCGATGGAGTAATAGATAACAACTCAGATTTAGGAATCGGTGGAGTAATAGATCACAGCTCGGATTGAGTATCCGATGGAGTAATAGATAACAGCTCGGATTGAGGAATCTGTGGAGTAATAGATAACAGCTCGGATTGAGGAATCGGTGGAATAATAGATAAAAGCTCAGACTGGGGAATCGGTCGAGTAATAGATAGCAGCTCGGATTGAGGAATCGATGGAGTAATAGATAACAGCTCGGATTGGGGAATCCATGGTGTAAAAGATAACAACTGGGACTGAGAAATTGATGGAGTATTAGATAGCAGCTCGTATTGAGGAACCGGTGCAGTAATAGATAGCAGCTCGGTTTGCGGAATCGATGGAGTAATAGATAACAGCTCGGATTGGGGAATACATGGTGTAAAAGATAACAACTGGGACTGAGAAATTGATGGAGTATTAGATAGCAGCTCGTATTGAGGAACCGGTGGAGTAATAGATAGCAGCTCGGTTTGAGGATTCGATGGAGTAATAGATAACAGCTCGGATTAGGGAATACATGTTGTAAAAGATATCAGCTCGGACTGAGGAATTGATGGAGTAATAGATAGCAGCTCGTATTGAGGAACCGGTGGAGAAATAGATAGCAGCTCTGATCGAGGTATCGATGGAGTAATAGATAACAGCTCGGATTGGGGAATCTATTGTGTAAAAGATAACACCTCGGACTGAGGTATTGATGGAGTAATAGATAGCAGCTCGTATTGTGGAGCCGGTGGAGTAATAGATAACAGCTCGGAGTGAGGAATCGATGGATTAATAGATAACAGTTCGGATTGGGGAATCCATGGTGTAAAAGATAACAGCTCGGACTGAGGAATTGATGGAGTAATAGATAGCAGCTCGTATTTAGGAACCGGTGGAGTAATAGATAACAGCTCGGATTGAGGAATCGATGGTGTAATAGATAGCAGCTCGGATTGAGGAATCGGTGGAGTAATAGATAATAGCTCGGATTGAGGAATCGGTTGAGTAATAGATAACCGCTCGGATTGAGGAATCGGTGGAGTAATAAACAGCTGCTCGGATTGAGGAATCGGTGGAGTAATAAATAACAGCTCGGATTGAGGAATCTATGGAGTAATAGATAACCGCTTGGACTGAGAGATCGATGGTGTAATAGATAACAGCTCGGATTGAGGAGCCGGTGGAGTAATAGATAACAGTTCGGATTGGGGAATCCATGGAGTAAAAGATAACAGCTCTGATTAAGGAATTGATGGAGTAATAGATAACAGCTCGGATTGAGGAACCGATGAGTAATAGATAACAGCTCGGATTGTGGAATCGATGGATTAATAGATAACAGTTCGGATTGGGGAATCCATGGAGATATAGATAACAGCTCGGACTGAGGAATTGATGGAGTAAAAGATAACAGCTGGGATTGACGAATTAATGGTGTAATAGATAGCAGCTCGGATTGAGGAATCGGTTGATTAATAGAGAGCCACTCGGATTGAGGAATCGGTGGAGTAATAAACAGTTGCTCTGATTGAGGAATCGGTGAGGTAATAAATAACAGCTTGGTGTGAGGAATGGGTGGTGTAATAGATAACAGCCCGTATTGAGGAATCATTCGAGTAATAGATAGCAGCTCGGATTAAGGAATTGATGGAGTAATAGATAACAGCTCGGATTGAGGAATCGGTATTGTAATAGATAACAGCTCGGATTGAGGAATCAGTGTAGTAATAGATAGCAACTCAGATTGAGGTATCGGTGGAGTAATAGATAACTGCTCGGATTGTGGAATCGGTGGAGTACTAGATCACAGTTCGGATTGAGGAATCGATGGAGTAATAGATAGCAGCTCGTATTGTGGAATCTTTGGAATAATTGATAACACCTCGGATTGAGGAATCATTGGAGTAATAGATCACAGCTCGGATTGAGGAATCAGTGGTGTAATAGATCACAGCTCGGATTGAGGAATCGATGGATTAATAGATAGCAGCTCGGATTGAGGAATCGATGGTGTAATAGATATCAACTTCTATTGAGGAATCGGTGGATTAATAGTTCACAGATCGGTTTGAGGAATCGGTTGAGTAATAGATCGCAGCTCGGATTAAGGAATCGGCGGGGTAATAGATCAAAATTTCCTTTTTTTTGTACCTCTTAATATAGTATCTCTTTTTCTTACAATTCCTAATCACATTTCAGCCAACCATATACACAATGTCGTTAGGCAAGTTATGTGTTGCTTTCCTCTGTGCCTTTTGTCTTCATTATGTTCTAGAGTGTTAAATCATGGTTATGTGCCCCTAGAAATTTTAATTGAGTCTTTCTGATGAAAAATATAAGTGTCTATATTCTCTGAAGTTTTGCCATTGCTCCCTTATCTAGTCCATAGAATTCTCAACTTCTTTCTAGGGAACCACATTTCTGATATTTCAAGCTTTAACTTTTTACTAATCCATTAACTACCAAATTATTTTAATGCGCATTTTTGGCCTAGACAGGTGTCTTAGAAGTTTATTTATTCCTTATGTTTCATTTCAGTAGTTGCCATTGTCGTTTTTATAGAAACTAGAACATCACATATATATGTGATTAAAAATTTAAAAAAATAATACTGATTAGAAATAATAAAAAATCCTTTTGAAAATAGTCATTATTTTTCTACTCGTGAGATGTAAAATTGCGACAGAAAGTCTCTTCTTACGGTTAATAATAAAAACTTTAAAGGCTAAGTGTTGGAAAGTGTACCTCTGAAAATGCAATGCATGTAAGCAATTCAATGTAAATACAAGGAATAACGCAGTGAGTTTAATTTTAACAGATCCCCAAATGGAGCTTATGGCAAGTAATGGGTTAATGAGGAGATTGCTCAACATTCGATGCCATATAGGAATACCGATATTGCATAACAATTAAATACACTTTTCCTTGTTTGTAACGAAATACTATTTCTCAACACTCTGGTTGTATTTTGGATGGCATTTTTTCTATAATGTTCACATTCGTATTTCGGTGCCATATTTTTCGTCCTCTGTTAAAACACTTCCTAAATATTTAAATTTTTGTATTTTGCTGATTTTGCTGTATCTTATTTGTAATTCGTATGTTGGGCTCTTCCTTTTTATGACAACTGTTCACTTTTGTTAGCTTTTGTTGGAGATATTGGGAACAGAAGACCACCTAGGATGTCCCTGTTAACACTACAGTTCTAACATAGCGCAGACACTTGTTGGTTCACTTAGCATAGACTGCGACTGCTGCTTCCCTTTAATGTATTACTGACTGCTGTCCGCCATACTATACAACTTCGTGGCATTTTTTATTGTTTTATGTACATGTTCAGTATAACAGAATACATTATTTTATCTTTGAAGTGTATTTGATCTTTACCCTTCTCTTTATAATTTGTGCACTTAGTTATCTGTGTCATTTTGGTTACAAGATTTACGAAAATATCAGAAAAAAATGAGTTTTCATTTGAACTAAAACAAAGAAATTGTGACCAAATTTTTCTAGCTTAATATCATTTTTGAGAAGATAAATCAATTGTGAAAGTAATCAGCTTTTTTACGAGAATCCAAATAGAATAATATCTCAGGTAGCCTTCAACATTAAAACTTAAACTAAATCTATTGAAAAAAAATCTTTTCTTTATTCGGTAACATTCAAAGGAAATTATTTGTTGGAAACCGGACAACTACATAACCGTCACTGAAAAAGTGGAAAATTAACTTTTTTCATGACGAATTGGAAGAGAAATGATATTTTTCTGAGTAAGATAACCAGCCTGGTATGATAAAATCTTTCCTCATATTGCAAATACAACCTAGTGAATGATAATTCAATAGGGATATATATATATATATATATATCTTTCACCTGAGGAATATTCTACAGGCCTTTCAGGTTCAATTATTTGCTTCGTTCCATGAAACACTTCTTGTATTGTCAGCGCTTCTAAGAATTTCCTCAATAAAATGTCTACCGAATCCTCAACGAATTTACCCAATCATTACTACTAGATAAAATAAATTATTTTTTTTTAAAGACGATATCATTAAAGCCATAGAAAATCAGATTAATTTAGTGAATATATTATATTCGGTAATTTTATAATAATGATTTTTTACTAAAATGTTCGCTGTGGATAATGGTTAATGGGTTCAGTCTGGTTGTCCATTAGAGTAAACCTATCCTCATTGTTTTCTCATACAAACATTCAAATTCAAATAAGAAAACAAGAAATATTATTGGTCGTGACCTAGCGACTCGTCTTCATTCCCTTTCCCACCACCATAATGTCGTTTCCCTGT